CCGCCCCCACGCACGCCGCCCTCTGCTTGGGTCCCGGCCCGCCGGACAGCGCGGAGCACGTGCAGTGTGGACGGGAAGACGGGGCCAGTGGTGTCCGGTGGGGCAGGGCTGGAACCCGCCTTCCTTGTCAGACCAGGACGCTGCCTCTGCGCGCCCACACCAAGGGCTCTGCGCCCTGCTTAGTTATGGCCCGAGATCCGGCCGCTGCCAGGACGCGCTGAAGGCACAAGGATATGAGGGACAAGGACACGTTGAAGGCACTGGGATGCTGGTGGACAAGGACGCACTGGAGGACAAGGACACAAAGGCACAAAGACAAGGACACACTGAGGGACAAGGACATGTTGAAGGCACTGGGATGCTGGTGGAAAAGGACACACTGAAGGACAAGGACACGTTGAAGGCACTAGGACACATTGATAGACAAGGACATGCTGACGGACAAGGACACGTTGAAGACCCACCCCAAGAAAAAGGATGCTGAGATCAAGCATTGGGAGGAGCTGCCTGCCAACCAACTCTAGTGGTGCTGCAACCTTGACCAAGTGCCAGCCTGTTTTGAGGTAAAGCATCTTACCCTTGAAGTGGAGAAGAGAGAGCAGAGGGAGGGAAAGGAGAGGAGTCCCAGCCTGCAGTCTACTCTCCCCCAGGGAAAGACCTGCAACTTCTGCAGAGGGATCTGTGGCTCCAGGACTGGACTCAAGTCACCATCAATAAGCTGTGGTGAAGATCATTCTCCAGCTGAGGGATTGTTGCCCGCGGCAGACTAAAACCAAATGTGCTTGGAGGTATAACCTACATAATTGCCCCAAGCCACTCCCAGCACTGAAAGACAAAACCCACTCAAGTAAAGTATAGTCAAAGCAAGACTACAGGCGTTAAACGACTCTGATGTGATGAAAGTTCTTTCACACTGAAACTATGTCCTTAAGCTGTTGTAAATCAGCCTCATGGCTTTTGTCCCTGCAATGTGCTTTTAGTAACACTAATATGATAAATATTGATTTAAGGAAATATGAGTGTTAATGTGCTTGAATTGTAAATATTTGTTTTGTTTTCATAAAATCTTTCAAGCTTTTTGAGCAAAACTGGCAGTAACTTTTATTAAAAATCCTACCCCCTGATACAGACCCTTATTGGGGTCAGTAGAACAGTCCTTTGATTAGATGTTTACTTTCCTATAATATAATTCCTTTTAATTACCTATGGAAGGCCTGTGTGGATGAGAATAACCAAGAATTAACTGCTGGCAAATTTACAACAACACCCTTGCACCCAATGAATTGTTTCATGTTGGTAACCTCTTGAACCACAAGGAGCATGCTCGTGTCCATGTTCATGGGCAGCAGCAGATGGGCAAGTTAGCATTGCTGAAAAATAGCCAGTCAGCCTGTCTGGAGTGCTGTGTGAACCTAGCTTCACTGCAAAGCAGCACAGCAAAGGTGAGGATGCCTCTGCCTTGCATGTGGATACTGCTATGTAGGCATGCCTTTCCTCCAAGGTGTCACTCAAGCTGCTGTTCTGTAAGGTGCATTATCAGAAAGGGGGGAAATTCAGCTAGGATTCAGAAAAGCAGTGTGTCGGTATTTATATTTTGAATCACTATCCACTGTTTTATCTAAGGCCCTGTCTGCCAAGTTCCTTTGGTTTCTCCAGTTACTGTGATTGCTGCAGTAAAAAATAGTTAAAAGTATGTCCTGATCTTTCAAATACTGCCACACATACTTTTAAGCATGCATGTAAATTGTTGCCGGATCAGAGCCATATGTTGTGTTCACCTGTATTAGTTAAGAATCGATGACAACTATAAAATTGGTAATGACGGATTAGCAGAGAAATCCTTTTGACTCCCTATTATTAAACCCTTGCATTACTAGCTAGTCTTCATATTAGAGGACTGTGCCCTCAATGCTGTAGAGATATTTCCCATGAACCAGTAAGTAGTCACTTAGGTTAACACTGCAACTCCTCTATGTTCTGAACAGGGCTGAATCTCAGCTGCTGTTTAGCCTAGTTTACTGACTTCAGTAAGCAATGTGAGTTTATACTAGCAGAGGATCTGGTTTGAAAGCAGGATGTTACTATATTTGCTTGATTCCAAGACCAGGGTTTTTTCCTCCCTAAAATACAGAAAAAACAAAGCTTCCTCTTAGAATCGAGTATTGAGGGTCTTGCACTGCTCCCTGGTTCTGTGGCAGTAGGTCAGGGTGCATGGGGGAAGGCAGGCTGCCTGCCTCCATGCTGCTTGCCTCCTTACTGCCTGCCCCCCTGCTGCAGTGTGGGGAGAGAGGGGTACAAATTTAAGACAAACCTCCAATAATTCAATTCTATACATGGAAAATTATTAAAAAATATATAATATTTTTCATGTAAAGAATTAACTTTTAGGGGTGTGTTTTACATTTGAAGTTGTCTTAGACTGGGATAGATATTGTACTTCTTAATTAAAAAGACAGAATGCAAACTATTTAAACTCGGAGTTCTGCTTTATAGTAGTTGTCAGTTTTAATTTGCCTAAAATGGATTTTAGAAAGAAGACAGAAAAACTCCATTAATTTTCAAACATATACCAGTAAAACAGAGCAGACACCAAGCTGTGTTTTGCTTCCTAAGAGTACCCGGCAGCAAGAGCTTCCTTTCATCCCCGGGGTCTTAAAAGCATCATCTATCTTCCCACTTGTACATAGGGAGCCAAAGCAATAGGTAATCCTAGTGTGGGACAAACCTTGTCCAATTGAAGTCAATAGCAAACATTTTAAATTAATAGAGCAGGGAATGAGTTATTAGAATGTATAAAATCTAGTGGGGATGCAGTGGAACCTTTTTATGTCAAGAGCTGTTTGGCTCTCAGAATGTTTTAGGTCTGCTGAGGACATTTGCCAAACTTCTACCTTGAAGCGTATATTTTTGGTTTCAAGACCTTAGCTCTGGTTCAATATAAGCAAGTGGCCACATAATACTGTACTGTATATAAGAGTGTCCATAACAATTCAGTGATAGTGGCATGTGTGTGAACCGAGAGAGACAGTTAGCTGTGTCAATCTGAAGTCAAGTAGAAGGCAGGGTAGATTTGCACTTCATATATATACTTTGGTTAGTCTATAAAGTAAATAAGTGAGCTTCAGCTCGCAAAAAGCTTGTGCTATACATATCTATTTTAGATAATTTATAAGGTGCAACACTACCTTGACTGCCATCCTTTGCAAGGTCCTAGCTTAGATTTCACTAATGTTATGCCTTTGACTTGAAAAGCAGATTTTGTTTTTGGGATTCAGGACTTTAAAAATGTCCAGTGTTGAAATATGAATTCCTGCCCAGCATGTCAGCTGTGGGAGTTGAAAATTTGCTGCAGCAAAAAAACCCAGCTGTTACAGAATACTCATTAATAATATATTTTTAAGGGATCCTTGCAGTAGTACTAAGACCGAGACCCATAATTTTAGTATAACAATTTTAGAGGGACTTTTTAGAGATGAGTGATAATCACACTAGGAATAAATTTATGCCAGGGTATGTGAATTTAGCACTACTT